TACCGTACTGTCCCAAATCAGCTTTCATGCAAGTATCCATTCTTCTCAATATTCCCAACCAGAATGTTCGAAACCCATTGCTCTCAGATATTGGCTTCAGGAACTGCAAGTACACGTCTGTCATTAGCTCCATTGAAATCTTAAGTGTCCCTTCCATGCTTCTCATCTCCCTCTCTGAGTTCTCTCTCCTTGAGTACTCCAACATCTTCTCATGAAGATCATCCACCATTGCAAATATCACTAGGTTGAAGCAGCTTATATAATTTGCTGAAGTGAATAGTAGCTCCTCAGCCAGATCAAAGCTCTTGCGTAAAGACTGAACTGCATAGTTCCTTATCTCCTCTCGTCGAGCTAGACTTGTCTTTTTAAATGCCTCTCCGAGTTTAACAAATAGATTCATGGTGAAATTTGATGAACCGCCTCTTGGATTTTCCTCAATTGAAGAGCTACTAGCATTGCTTACTCCACTGAAATTACTTCCTGGATCTGAATACTGATTTCTCTGCCACTGAATCAACAAATTCACTGACTCAGATAGTAAATCTAGTATCTTAAGATTCTTTTCCAGAGGACTGTTTCTAAGTGCGATAAAGCTAAAAGCACAATCTATACAATATGAATAATTTGATCGTGAAAAATGCACCCCATCTGACATTAATGAGATCAAGGCCTCAGAACTTTGATCATATGTTTCAGGATGCCTTCCAGTGATTGATAATAAATGTAAAACCGTCTTCCACCCAAGATGTGCTTGCAAATTTCCAGGATACTCGTAGATTAATTGGATAACTGACTGTGATATGATCCCACAGCAAGTATCAAGAATTTCTTTATCAAGCATCCACATTAAGTTTATGGACTTGAAAATAAGCTCCTCTGGGAGTTTATCAGCCTGAAGTGAAGAAAGAATCCTAAGAGAGATCCTAAAAAGGGATGCAATGGCCTTTTCTGCAAAAGGGATAGGGGAGAAGATAGGAAATTGAGCGACCATTAGAAAGTACTCATGGAATTGAGGCCAAAACGCTTGAAATCTGTGAACATTGACTAATGTGATTGCAGTAATCAAGTCCCAACAAAACCCAACAGTTTCTTCTTCTTCAATGGGCGTGTTAAATTTTTGACCTTTTCCAGCTGCTGCAAATATTAATGATCGTCCAAGATTTTGTAAAGATTCTTCAGGGATGTTTGAGCTTTTGCTGAAGATGTTACCAATTCGACACTGTCTGATCATGTTCACATTCTGTTCAAATTCAGTGCCAACGATCAAATTGTCCTCCCTGCCATCTCGTGATGAAAATGAGAAGTGACTAGCTATGTTAGAAACCTGTCGGCTTCCTAATTTCGAGTTATGGACAGGAAAATTGACACTTGATCCATCCACTGACTGTGTTGGGATAAGGTCCAAATCAATGACAGATGGAGGGAGTAGCCTTAACTTCTTGAGTTTCAACAAGCAGTCTATAATATTCTTCCAACCACCTTTGATTGAGTCCCCAAAGTTGTTTGCAACGGTGAAAACAGCAACTGTTGCCATTCTAGGCTTCAAATCATTGCTGAACACATACAATGTCTCATCTATGGAAGCATAAGGATTTTGAAGTGTAGTGAATTTGCAAAATGACGTTATGAGCTCGTCCAGAGTGTCCTCCAATCCATATTGAGCAATCCTAGCCACTGAGAATAACCCTTCAATGCACTCATGAAGCAGATCATCTTCATCAGCGTGTTCGAAGAATGTAGAAAGAGCAGCCACTGCTGGACCTGCAATGCAAGCAAACATGTCTCTGCAGATCCTACGATCAAAATCACATTGGATGAAAGGTTGCACCACTTTAGATTGGTTTATAAGCTGAATCCACTTGCTTGGGTTCATATCTACATTTGTACTAGTTGGAGCAAGAAGCGGGTTTGACAGAATAGAATGATACAGCTCTGAGAGGAACTCTCTGGGTAGATCTTGCCCTTCGTTTATAGCTCTATTATTCTTTATGAAATCCTCTTCTGTCATTTTCTTCTTCACTTGGGGGTTGTGTTGATCAGTATTAAGCATGATGAGGGAGTAGCTCAGAATAAGAACAGTGTCCTTGCTTGCAAAAATATCTGCGGATTGGTGATCATAGTATCTCTCTGAGAATGCTTCAAGAACACGTTGAATCTTTTGAGACTCCCCTGGCAATCGAAAGGTTTCAAGATAGAACCTCAGTGCCGTGTCAAGAGCCATGCCAGTGAAATAAAAGGTGGCTGCAAACTCTCTGAGAACCTGGAGGTGGAAATCATCTGGGTCTCCAAGATATTCCCCTATCAGGTTCTTGTCTAGACCAGGAGTGTAGTGAAAGAAGAAAGCAAATGCCTTAGGATCAGGAGGATCAGAGATTAATTGAGCATGCTTTAAGTACTCAAGGCCCTTCTTATCATCTCTGATATAATGGTTTCCTGCGATTAACATTTTTCTCTTTTGCAATTTCCTTATACGTAAATGTTCCACCCAAGCTTCCAAGTCCTTGCAATCATTTTTCTCTTTCTCCTCCCAAAAGGGTGTGTACTCTGTGATATGATTTGAGTAGGGACCTAAAGCAGAGGAATCATCTTCCTTATCGATATTATCTGCGATATTGTGAATTATTATGACCAATCCTTCAAAGGCTTGGATCTGTAAAGAGGTTAAAGGACCGTTCCCTGCAAATGAGTGCTTGCACAACAATTTTCCAATCTCCTCAAATACATTCCGGCATAATGGATCACAATCATAGTTTGCGTAAGCTTCAACTACAAACGTGGGTTGCCTGCAAAAATTTATTATTCCTTCAACTGCAACTTCTTGGAGTTGAATAGCGTTTGCTAAAGCTGCTACTCTCAGAAGCACGTATCCAAAGAAGGCTTCTAGTTGCAGGCGAAGGAACCTGCAAAAATAAAATATAATAACCTAATAACCTTTTGTTTCCAAGCTGCAACAAAGCTGCAAAAATGAAATATATCGTGACTATTTGCATTCAAAATGTGATTCAAGTTATTCTAATACCAGGTGAAAAATCATGTAAAATATCATAAGTCTATATTTAGTTTTTTTCCCCCGCTCTAATATGCATATTAGGTGAATATCAGATGGGTTTGACACAAAACCTACTGACCCAAGAAAAATAATCAGCATAAATATAATTTTAAACAATCCAATTATTTTAAGATATCCAATATTGATTGCGTTTCAAAACTCAAGATATCATTGAAGCAAACAAGCCGGAGTTTAATTTGCATTAAAGTTTTGCTCAAAAAATCTATAAACCTGCTTGCACTCAGCTTAGAGTTTCGCAAAGCCATCTGTAGATGGAAATTAAACGAGCTTGATACCAAGAGTACACATGGTTCATAGTTTCCTCAAAAATCTAACCTTCGCAAACAGTGATATGCATTCAAAACGGTACTGCAAATCATGGACAAGACAAGGGAGCTGGACCACGTGCCATAATATATCAAATGGTGAAAGAGATCATCTTGGATCATCCTCATGAGTCTGGGATGCTTTCCTATCGCATCGCCACTCAATTCAATGGCCGAGTTGATCAAAATCAACGAGAAAATCTGAACATCTTCATCAGCTGAGTGAGCGTTGGAGCCCTCTGTTTCGACCACCTCCATCACATTCACTAGAGAACACAAGAAATGAAAAATATCGATGGCGCAACGAACCCCGTACCCAGACTCCAAAACCCCAACATCATCCGTGTCTGATTCTGAACTCTCTTCCCCATCCTTCACCTCGATCTGAGCCAGCCTCGAAAACACAATCTGAATAAGCTCGTGCATTGTGTACCTCGCGGTTCGCTGAAGCAAGTCACCTCTGTTTGCAGATTGCTGAACCACCTGGAAGCATGTGTTGACAATGGTACATACCGCTTGGTCGGAGAACAAAAAAGAGGCCCTGTGGCTCATGATGGCTGTTAGAACTTGAAGGATCCTCATCATGACGGCGTCTTCAGAGACAGGGTCAGTTTTCTCGAGTCGGCAGGAGGTGATGCCGTTGGCGACGGCATCGAGGGCATCTTTGGCGCCGGGGGTGTGTTCGTCGAAGATGCCGAGTTTGAGGATCTTGAGGACTGAGGAGAGGGAGACGGCAGTGGCGGACGCGGGGACGTCGTCGGCTTGGATAACATCGAGAAAGGGGGTGAGGTAGATGGAGGGGTCGACAGAGCGCCATTCCTGGTGGAGGTTGAAGATGAGAGATCGGAGGGAACGGAGGGAATTGACGGCGGCAGATTCGTAACTCTCGTCAGAGGGAAGGTAGGGGGAATTGATATCTGGGGGGCGACGGACGAGAGCCAGCACGGTTCCAACTTCGGTGCTTAGCATGCAAGACACTCCCAACTCTTTCCTTTTGAATCTTGTCGAACCTCTACGCTTGTCCCTATCTTCTTCTCCAGTGGTCATCGGGGCTCGCTACTTTTCTGAAATTGTTTCTTTTGAAAAACGGTTATCCACGGCAATTTGACAACGTTTTTCTCACAATCCGTTTTTTGTTTCATATTTCGTGGGGTAACCTTCGCTTTTAGAATATTTGTAGGGTTGCAAATTAAAGATATCAAAATTTGAAATGGGTATACTGCATGAAGATTATTCTCACTACAGTGAGGGCTCCAATAAAAGCAATGGTTACTTAAAATCACCGTAATTGTCCCCAACAAAATTTAAAATCGCAGTGTGTAATAATAGTCTCTCTCTCTCTCTCTCTTGTATTTTCTTTGGTGATCCACATTCTTCTCTTTTTAAATGTTACATTTTGACCGTTTGACTCATGTTTCTTAATCAAAATTGGTGATGGGGATTGGGATTAGCGAAAATGGATGCAATATGGCAATGACTTACATGTCTTCCTTTGGTTGGATATAGGCGGGCGGAGATGCGTCAAGAACTAAGATGTACGACGCTAACTGAATAACAATTAACAAATTAAAGCACCCCAACTGAATCGAAGAATATCGCCGCGTACTTGTATGATCAGAAACATGTTCAATTGAAAAATCGTCTTTTTCATGTGACTTAAATCTGTTGAACAATGAGCTTGTAAGACCTTTCATATCTCGCGTGCAAAGTTCGGCATGCATGCATGCATGACATGTATGGCCATGCAATCGTAAGGGTTTCTTATATTAGAAAGATGGTGTGTAGAATATTTCATTCACAAGACATAACATGCTGCTGTGTAACTTATGAAAATGAAAAAAAAAAAAAAAAAACCCTTGTGAATGAAAAGTACCACATGTAAATAGAGCCACAGGGAATCATTCAGAGCCAAGGAGAATTGTAAATAGGAGTGACCACAGATTTAACTTGCAGGTACTTGTGAATTGCTTCCATTCCACAATCTTTCCCAAATCCGCTCATCTTGTACCCTCCAAAAGGAACATCGTTCCCAAACGCAAGGTAGCAATTGATCCAAATGATTCCTGCTCTGATGGATCTCGACACTGTGTTTGCTATGTCAATGTCCTTCGTCACTATGCCTGCTGCTAGCCCATATTTTGTGTTGTTTGCACTCTTTATCACTTCCTCTATCGTTCTGTTAACATTTCACTGTTCATCAATTTGATCCTGCTAAGACCATTTAAGAAAAACAAGTATACTAGCTATAACTTACTTAAACTTCATTAGTGCCATCACAGGCCCAAATATTTCATCCTGCGCTATAAGCATGTCCTCCTGGTAGAAAATGAGAATGCGTGTCTTATTGTCATGATCAACACACCATGTTTGATGTTCTTGTGAATTTGGATACTTGCAACTTACCTTAACATTAGTGAAAACTGTAGGCTCTAAGTAGTATCCCTGATTGCCAACTGCCTTACCTCCTGTCAACAAGGTGGCTCCTTCTCTCTTTCCATGCTCTATGTATGATAAAATCTTTTCAAATTGCTTCTTGTCTACCTAAAGTTTTTTTTAAAAAAAAAATATTGTCAACAAGCATATTGTTGATGATGATCAATGTGTTCCTGTACATGTTGATTTATAAATTTGCTTGTTACCTGAGGACCTTGCTGAACTTTAGGATCAAAAGGGTCTCCAACTACCCAAGCTTTTGCCTTCTCCACCAATTTCTTCTCAAATTCATCGTATATGCCTTCTTGAACAAACACACGAGAGCCTGCAGCGCAGATTTCTCCCTAAACCTCAAGCCAAGAAATGATACTTAGTGATAGCTATAATCATTTGATGAATATAGATGATTAATTATTTCTGGAAGGCATGCAATTCGACCTTGTTAAAAAGGATTCCAACGAGCGCAAGCTCAACTGCTTTGTCCACATCAGCGTCGTCAAATATAATGACAGGTGATTTGCCTCCTAATTCAAGCGAAACTTGCTTCAAATTACTCCTAGCTGCAGCCTGCATCACTTCCCGTCCTACTTGGGTCGAACCAGTAAAGCTAACCTTCAATAACACACACCAAGAAAGACAAGTTCAGTATCTAGTGATCAGCCATTTTCAATATCTCAATCACATGCAAAACTCCCAAATACTTGTACACTTGCCAACTACGTGCCTTATCAATGTCCATGTGCGAGGTTATAGCAGCACCAGCAATTGGGCCAAACCCAGGTACCACATTAAGCACACCATCTGGTATCCCAGCCTATATACGAAACCAGACAAGCAAAACACAGTTTCAGTGAAGAAGCCACAAATAAACTGAAAGCAGTAAACGTTAAAAAGAGTAAAGTCACAAAGTGCTTGTATGAATTAACATGCCAGCTTAGCTAGATGAGCGTAGAAGAGAGCGGAGAGAGGAGTTTGCTCGGCGGGTTTGACGACCATGGTGCAGCCGGCGGCCAAGGAAGGGCTGACCTTGCTGAAGAACATGGTGCTAGGGAAGTTCCAGGGAATGATGTGACCCACGACGCCAACGGGTTCGAGCAGAGTGTAGGCGTGGAACTCTCTCGACATCTTCAACACCTCTCCATGGATTTTATCAGCAGCACCTGCATAGTAACGCAGCATATTTGCCACTGAAGGAATCTCAATCTTACACCACTCGTACAGCTTTCCCGCGTCTATGGCGTCAAGTGCTGCCAGTTCTTCTGCATGTTGATCTATCAAATCTGCCCATTCCATCAATATTCTTCCTCTCTCCTGAATATTAGTTCCCACACCATCACAATAAACCAAATCAACCATTGAACAGCTAAACCAATCAACAACTTCAATTTAGTTCTCCTACAACATTATCAAATTTGGGTCCTTATAATTGTACTAGTTAACTCCGCCTATGTTTATAGCCAGTCCCAAGCCCGGGTAAAGGAGGGGGGTTGTGTTAGGCCATCAACAGCCAATGTAAAACTTTGTTGAATCTATCATGAACATGGACAATAGACGTTATAATGTTAATGCTAGGTCGTTGCCCGTAAGTAACGCGCTGCATGGCTCGAGTACAGTGACAAATGAGTTAGAGCCGCTGCATGCGGCGCCCGGATGTAGTGTTAAATGAGCAAGGGCTACCGCGTCATTTTGGACGCACGCGGCTAAAAAAGTTAGTCTATAAGAGCAAAATTAGATTTGGTACTTGGAATGTTGGGACATTAAATTGTAAATCTATAGAGGTTGTAGGGGTTATGATTCAAAGGAAAATCAATATCCTTTGCCTGCAAGAAACAAAATGGCGTGGAGAAGAAGCTAAGGATATTTAAGGTTTCAAACTTTGATATACAGGAAAAGTAAGTGCACGCAATGGAGTAGGCATCATTATAGATAAGGAGTGGAAGAAGAACGTTGTAAAAGTTAGCAGAATTGGAGATAGAATTATTTCCTTAAAAATGATAATTGGACGTGAGACTGTTAATATTGTTAGCGCTTATGCACCGCAAGTCGGGACAGAAGCTAGTCTTAAGGAATTATTTTGGGAGGATCTGGAGGGGTTGATTCGACACATACCACAGAGTGAAAAGATTTTTATTGGAGGAGACTTTAATGGGCATGTCGGGAGGGAAGCTGGTCAGTATGCGAGGGTGCATGGTGGTTTTGGTTTTGGAGAACTAAACAATGAAGGACAAACTCTTCTTGATTTCTCATTGGCGTATGATTTTAAGATTGCCAACACTTGTTTCAAGAAGAGAGATGAGCATCTCATCACTTACAAAAGTGGAGCCTCAAGGTCACAGATTGATTTTCTTTTGGTTAGGAACACAGATAGAAGACTTTGTAAAAATTGTAAGGTGATCCTCGAAGATGCTGTAACGACACAACATAGGGTCCTAGTCCTTGATGTGTGTATTATGAGTAAAATCAAAAAACATCGACAAGTAGTAACACCAAGGATTAGGTAGTGGCAATTAAAAGGTGAGAAGCAAGATATTTTCAAGCGAAATCTTTTGGATAAAGGAATTTAGGAATCTCAGGAAAGTGCTAACATTATATGGGAAGATATAGCTAAAAAGATACGGGAGGTTGCAAAAGTAGTTTTGGGAGAATCGAAAGGTTCTGGTCCGAGAGATAAGGAGACTTGGTGGTGGAATAATAGTGTACAAGACAAAATTAAATATAAGAAGAACTGTTTTAAAGCCATACATTTGTGTAACAATGAGAAAAATTGGGAGAGGTACCGTATGGCTAAGAAGGAAATTAAGAGAGCTGTGGGTGAAGCTCGTTCTAAAGCTTTTGAAGAATTTTATAAGAACCTTGAGACGAAGGAAGGAGAGCAAAATATCTATAAGATTGCCAAGAGTAGGGAAAAAAAATCAAGAGACCTAGAACAGGTAAAGTATATTAAGGATGAAGAGGGAAGAATTTTAGTTACAGATGATGAAATTAAAAATAGATGGGAGACTTACTTTTCTAAACTTTTCAATGATGGAGAGGATTCATCTAGTAACTTGAAGGATTTAGTAACTGGTGAAGGAGAACAAAATTTGTCATTCTATCGAATAATACGTGATAAGGAGGTAAAGGAAGCTCTTAAGAAAATGGCAAATGGTAGAGCCAACGGACCTGATTGTATATCTATCGAAGCGTGGAAATGTTTAGGTGAAGAAGGGGTGAGATGGTTAACTAAGTTATTTAATGTGATTTTACGGTCCAAGAAAATGCCTGATGAGTGGAGGAGAAGTACATTAATTCCTATTTATAAAAATAAATGGGATATTCAGAATTGTACTAACTATAGAGCGATTAAACTCATGAGCCACACAATGAAATTGTGGGAGAAAGTAATTGAGCACAGGTTGAGATTGGAGACAAGTATTTCTGAGAATCAATTTGGTTTTATGCCAGGTAGATCAACTATAGAGACAATTTATCTACTAAGGGGATTAATGAAAAAGTATCGTTGTAAAGATAAAGATTTACACATAGTTTTTATTGATTTGGAAAAAGCTTTTGACCGTATACCAAGAGAAGTGCTTTGGAAAGCGTTGGAAAAAAAAAGGAGTACGGATTGCTTATATTAAAGCCATACAAAATATGTATGAGGGGGTAAAAACTGGTATAAGAACGCCTAGTGGTCAAACAAAGGATTTTCCTATAAAGATTGGACTACATCAGGGATCATCTCTGAGTCCTTATTTGTTCAACTTGATCTTAAATGTTTTGACGGAACATATTCAAGAGGAAATTCCGAAATGTATGCTCTTCGCGGATGATATAGTTCTTATAGCAGAGACAAAAGAAGAGGTTAATTGCAAACTTGAGTTATGGAGGAGGACATTGGAGTCGAAAGGTTTTCGTCTGAGTAGAAGTAAGACGGAATATTTATATTGTAAATTTGGTAAAGGACTATTCGACAATAATTTGGAAGTGAAATTGGGAGATCAAATTATACCTCAAGTGAAAAAGTTTAGATATTTGGGAGCCATTATTGAAAATGATGGCGAAATCAGTGGAGATATTTCACATAGAATTCAAGCTGGGTGGTTTAATTGGAGAAAAGCTAAAGGAGTTATTTGCGACCGTAAGGTGCCTAATAAACTTAAAGGAAAGTTTTATCGTACTGCTATCAGACCGGCAATGTTATATAGTAGTGAATGCTGGGCTCTAATGGGAGAGCAAGAGCATAAATTTGGAGTAGCAGAGATGAGAATGTTACGATGGATGTGCGGACATACATGTAAAGATAAAATTCGAAATGAGCACGTACGCGAAAAAGTGAGGGTGGCACCTATTGAGGAAAAAATAGTAGAAAATCGGTTGAGATGGTTTGGGCATGTACAAAGAAGACCAAGGGAGGCACCAGTGAGAAGAGTGGAACATATAACTTTGAGTCCGATTAAGAGAGATAGAGGAAGGCCTAAGAGAACACTCTTGAAAGTTGTTGAGCGCGATCTCTTAATTAATAATATTCCTAAAAGCTTGATAAATGATAGAGTATAATGGCGTCTTGTAATCCATGTAGCCGACCCCACCTAATAGGATGAAGGCTTGTTGTTGTTGTTGTTGTTGTATAATTATACTAGTTACATTGTATAGTAGTAGACATATTTGTGTTGTAAAATTATTTGATATTATCGAGAAATTTGAATTTTAACAAAATTACATTGTAAAACTTTTGGAACTATGTTTTTTTTCTTTACTTGAAAAGAAAGAAAAAGAATATTTGAAGATTTGGTCATTAATGGGAAGATGGACAAAATTCGAGATTTAGATATATATATATATATATATATAGTTATTTTTCTATTTTTAATCATTTTAGATTTTTATATTATTTTAATATTTAAAATATTTTCATTGATTTTGGGATAAACATTAAGACTCTATAAATAGGTCTTGACTCTTAATACATCTTATTTTTTAAAATTTTTTATCATGAATGAGTAAGATCGATATTTAAATATCTCTTTCCCTTTCCCCCACTTGTTGAGCATCAACTGTTGATATGACAGGTATGTGCTGGTTGCATCTAAATACTCTTTTCATGGTCGCCACACAAAAGGGGCGGCAAGAAAGAAAAATAAAGGATCATGAACAAATAAAAAGTGCCTAGATTCTTATCCAAAAAAAAAATACCTAAATTTATTTACTCTTTTCATTTAAAAATATAAAATATTTTTTAAAAAATTAAATATTTAAAAATATAATCTTTTAAGATATAATTATTATCTTTTTTTAAAAACACTCCTATTGATGAATCACTTTATATTTATTATAGGGTATTTAAAAAGTAAATATAGAAAGATAGGATTAGTTTAAAAGTAAGCAACTATTCTTTTGGAGAGTGAAATTCAATTAAAAATGTCTTACATTTTTTAATGGAGAGAGCATAATATTTTTATATTTTATTTATATTTATTAAAATAAAAATTATAAATAATAATAAATCTACTATATCATCAATTTAAACAATGTGAAATTAATTTGAATAATTCAATTTAATATTAAATATCTTTATTATTTTTATAAATTAACTATACAGATATGCTTTGAACAATTTAGATTTAAAATTTTTAAATGGCAACTTATTCTCAATTTTTTAAAAGTGCCAGATTATCTTTATTTTCATTTTTTAATATTATATATTTACTAAAATAAAAATTTATAAAAAATTTAAAAAAGTTTATTATTAAATCCAGACTGTCAAAAATATATCTAAATTATTAATTTATAAAAATTATAAAAAAATTAATATTTAAATTAAATTATTATAATTTAAATTAATAATAAGATAGATTTATTAAAATTTTATAATTTTATATAATAAATATAAAATAAAAATATAAAAACAAAACTTTAAAATCCAGACCGTCGTGAAGGTACTCATCAAGTGGTCCTCATCACACCGAAATCAAACGCCAAGAAGGTACGGCATGACTGAGTTAGCAAGTGAAGACAGATGTCTCGAGATTCCGTCATGTGAATAACAATTGACTCTGAAAGCTTAAATAGTTGGGTTCAGACATTTTCTCAAGTGTTCCTCTCCCTCACTTGAGATATGATCGAGATTCAATCATCTGGCACTAGGATGTCGGAGTATCTGAATTTCTTACTGATACAATGTTCAGTTATTATAAAATAAACATTTATACCAAAAAATAACAGATAAATCCATATTAGGGCCATTGGGCTGGGCTATTGGGCTGATACATCATTTTATATTTACATTTATGCTCTTACTAAATATTAAAAAAATTATTAAAAATAATTCTGTATTTTTATTAAGGATAGATATAAAAATTAGTTAAATTTTAAAAATGAAGGTAATGAAATTTATAAAATCAAAATAATATAATGTCAACGACATAAAGCTTGAAATTGCAAGTTGCCAAGATATTGAGTGGTTGTACTCAAGAAGTAGAAAAGGTAAGCTGCCTTCTTAACTGTAGGAGTATGCTCGCATTTATGAAATAGGGCGGTTCTTAAAAATTCCAAACATGGACCTAGGCTTTAGCTGTTACATTCTTCTCCGATTTTACATGTGTGCAGGTCAAATATTAATTTTGACAATTTTGACAAGAATACCCTTATTAGTGTGTAACACTTTTTTTTTTTGTTGATTAATAAAATGGCCTCTCTTTTGCTTAAAAAAACACTAAAACTATCCTTATACACATAATTGGACTAATTATTTTGAAGCCAAAAAAGCTTATGTGTTGGTGTCTTCAAAATTATGTTATTGTTATTTTCTCAAACTCAACCAGAGAATATAAAATTTCAAATAGTCAATGTCTTTGTAAAGTATAGAATTTTTAAATTAAACAGTTATAGTGATGGATGTTCTTGTTATATATGAAGTTTTGGCAAGCTGTGCTATTCATGATTTATAAGTGATTTTATTTATTACATAATGTATTAATATTGGAAATTAATATTATTAATTTATAACCATGAGGAGGAGACATGAAGGACAACTCATTCGACCTGTGCATACAAAAGTCAAAAACAACTGCATAATTTAATTTGACACAGATCAAAGTCTCGCTTTTTAAAAAAATCGTGTTGTCTGTAATTCTTCACGTTTCGCAATAAGAAGCGTTATGATAAAGAAAATTAAATGAACATTACTATATACATGCAGTTCATGCAATTTGGTTTTCTCCAGAAAAGGGCAAAAAAAAAAAAGAAAAAGTTTATATCGTTTGAGGGGTTCTATTTTTCCAAGATATATTCCGTCGCAAATTTTACCGGAAAAATAAAAATAAAACATACTGACTTCAGAAGATAACACAAAAATAAAATAATTACCAGGGGTGGCATCGTAATATATTTACACAAGGCATTTGACGATATTAAGGTTGAGAAATGAGAATGTTGTGAGATGGTGAGTTAAAAGGATGAAAATTCTCTAAAGTCTGCTTTCTAAATTTGACTATATCTGAGAGCATTTGATTGAGTAACAGTCATGATTTTACCACGTAATAAATGAAATGATGTGTAATATTGCGATATTTGGTGAAAAATGCTTTCAATTTTTTCTTTAATTTTACAAACGTATGCTATATTTATATTACTGTATATTCATATTACCGCTCATCCGGGGAAATCAAACTTATTTATCAATAGAATAGTCGCAACGGAGAGGAAGAGTGGCAGGGGAAGAAGGGAAGAGGAGGGAGAAACATACAGAGCCGGGGAAGCGAGGCCAGGGACCGAAGTCAAAGGCTTGACGGGCAGCTTTAACGGCGACGTCCACGTCAGCTTTGGTGGCTTCGGCGATGCTGCCGATCACCTCCCCTGTTCTAGGATCTATCGTCTCGAATCTGCCCCCTGTTTTCCATCCAACAAATCAAATGCTCAGAGTGAGAGTGAGAGAGAGAGAGAGAGAGAGAGAGAGAGCGAGAGGCGTGAGGAATTACCTGAAACAGAATCAACGAATTGTCCGTTGATGAAGAGCTGCGTGAACTTGATCTTGATGGACGCAGCATCAGGGTTTGAGGCGTGGCAGTTAAAGAGAGACGCCATGAGAGAGAGACAGAGAGAGAAGAAGCAAGAGAAGGTGAGGGGTGTCTAGGACAAGAGAAGGTGAGGGGTGTCTAGGACTGCGAGAACATATATTCTCATTCTCATTTTTACTATTCTTTTTTTTTTATAAGATATTTTTAAAAAAATTTCTCAACTTAAAATTAGAGTTGAAAAACGAGCGAACCCAACTTTTATAGGTTCGATCTTTAAGAACTCAAGCTTTTAAATTCAATTTTCTTAAAATATTTTATTTTCTAAAGCCCGACTCTTATATAAAAGGCTTAAGGTCAGGCCTATAAGCCCTTATTATTATTTTTTTATTGTTTGAAATTTTTAAAAATTAAAATTTTTAATTATAATATTTCATATATTTTTTAAAAATACAAATCATAATGTTTAAAAATTAAAAATAAATAATAGAAATTCTAATTTTAAAGTAAAAATATATATTCTAAAGTTTAAATTTAATTTAAAATTAAAAATATTTTATTTTTTAATGAAAAAATAAAAATGAGCCTAAAAGAGCCGTCCGAGCCTATTTTTTTAGGGCCTATCAGGGTCGGATTTGAAAGCTTAATTTTCTAAAAAATGTCATTTTTTAAAGCCCAAACCCTTATAAAAATGGGCTTAAATGAGCGGCCTTCTAGGCCCAACCCTTATTCTCGACTCTACCCAAAACATAAGACATTTTGGATTGATTAAGGGTGTGTTTGATTTTTAGTTTGTTAAAAGTCAATTTGATAAAAATTCATTTGGTAAAAGTCAGTTTGGTAAAAGTCAGTTGTTATAACAAAATTTGTGTTTGGATACATTTTTTCAAAAATTAATTTGGCAAACTAAAAGTTATTTGAATTAATAAAAATTTGTGCTTTTGAAATGTACTTTTTAGTATGTAATAACCAAAAAGGACATTAATTTATGATAATTTATAATTTTTATTATGCAAATATAATATATCAACAATGTTTAAAAAATGTGAAACAAATTTAAAATAACATAAAATTTGAAATGTTAAATAATAAGAAAAAATATAAAATTTAATTTTGAAAAAAAATATGTAATAAATATTTAAACATTCATTAATATTGAATAGTTACATGATTAACGATTCAATCTATAATATACAATCTAATCTCTAATAGAATCTCGAACCTTATTCATCTCTCTATTAGAAACTATACTTGAAATTACACTTGGAATTATTGATGAAAATGCATACTCATCATTATCATCATTAGTATTAACCATATTTTCATCCTTAAAATGCCTAAAGTCAGAATCAGTTGCAGATTTTCTTCTTAATAAAATTATGTATAGCCATTGTTGCACCAACCATACAAACTTGCGTCACAAATGAATAGATAGGCATGTGTCGTAAGATTGCGAATCTGTTTTTCCAAACCCCGAAAGTCCTTTCAATCGTGGTTCTTAAGCTTGAATGATAATAATTAAAAACCTTATTATTGTTTGCAAATCTGAATGAACGCCTGAAATCTAGGAGGTGATACCTATGAGATCTATAAGAACTTAAATATTCACGTGGTATTGGATAGCTGGTATCTAACAAATAATATTTACCTACCAATAAAAAAAATAGAAATTGTAAGATCTCAAAAAATATTGAAAAAATTATTTTAAATTAGATAAATATGAAATATACCTTGGGATAGATGTGAAAATTTCATATCTGGCCTTGTGAGTGCATAGTCAAATAAACGAGCATTATAGACAATCCCTTCCCATCCAGCCATGACATAAGTGAAGCACATATTTCAATCACATGCGGCCACTATATTTTATGCTGGAATACCTTTCCTTCCAATATATTTCCCCTGCTCTTCAACACTGACCATGCACGGGATATGTGTTCCATTAATTGCTTCTTTTGGTATCTTTAAAGAATGGTCGATATTGTAGATCATCTAAAATTTTTGGATGAATATTTTGAAAAGTGCGATCTTTTGGTTGAATATATTCCTTCGCTGGCTTCTCACAAGCATGCAATACATTTTTAAAATGTCTATGAATAGTCTCTACTGAATGTTGAAATTGTCCTTATGCTATCCTATTCCCCACCCCATGTCCAACAATATTTACGAACATACCAACCATTTCATGGATCCTTATTCTTCTAGTTGGATGCAAACCATATTGCACCAGTACATCACAAAGTTGAAAAAAAAAACATCTTTTTTCATGTGAAACATGTCATAACAATGCTAAGGATGCCCTTGCAAAATTTCTTACACCCATACATGACCTGATTGTGAATTGGTTCTACAAGGCTCTTTCAATAAAGTTGTTGAGTAATTAGATATTATTGTAGTAATAGCCTCAACATCATCGTCTTCCGCATGTATAAGCAATTGTGATAAGCGAAATTGCGTACTTTCATCCATAAAAACTGCATAGCATAATTAAACAACCATTACACCCTTATTCATAACTTGACATTAAAAGCACAAAAAAAAAAGAGTCAAATAACACATTCAATTTCAAAATAAAGTTAACAACATAAACGACATTAGCTAGATTTTAAACATTAAGAAGGCAAGCTAGGATTGATCTAATATGCTTTTTTGCCCAAGCACTTCAAATAGGCCATTCATGCCCTTCTATTATCCCTAAGCCCAATATACATGTCTCTTACAGTCTTATCTAACAAGGCCACAACACACTGTCCAAGAATCACCTCATCACAAGCAATCTCCTCAATTTCATAAAGTTTCTTTGCAACATCCATGACATTTTGACCAATTAGTTTTGTTCCACCGTTTATGGAATTAATAATTGACTTCAGTGTTGACACCCTATCCTCTTGTGTGGACACCAATCGACTCACTAAATCAACCATCACAATTGCAAGACATTTTCCCTTCTTGTTTTGACCACTTTCACCTCTCTTTCTCTTGCTCCCTGAATTAGTACTACCACTGTATGCATTGTTCAAGTTAACCTGCCTAATTTTTGAGAGAGTTCCTCCACTAATGTTTCTTACATCATCACTATCCCGTGATCCTTTGATCAAATCCAATTGACGCCTACACACATCTTGCGAGTCATCAGTCGCAAGTGTCCACATGTAAGTATCCCGTGTTACAACTAGCTGGAACTACTGTGTCAATTCTTATACATATGAAACTGGTCTATGTCTGAATTTTTTGTATTCAAGATTCTCTTGCACATTTACAAAGAATTGAGTCCAATATATTTACAAAATGAAGCATCAAATATATAGCATGCCATATATAATTATATACATTAATCTTTTGATTCCACCACTCATCCGAAGCTGATACAATATTCTTTTCGCTATCCCATCCCAAGCCGATTTCTTTATTTAGCAGCTTGTCTCATATATTCTAGTCTTTTCTCAAATTGTCCCATTTATTCTTTAACTGCTTCTTATCATAACTTCTAGAGCTCAAAGTATTAAAATTTAAACTGTTGTATTAGCACCTCCTAACTTTTCTTTAATAAGGTAGAGCTTTTACACTCATTTTTTCTAACTTATTGGAGAGCTAATTTGATGAATAGTTTAGTCTCTTCGGTAGTCCACAATGCCTTCTCTTTACTTATATTTACTATCGAAATATTACATTCTCAATAATTAATTAACATAAATTAGACCTATATATCAACTCACATTTAACAGGAAACAAGGCAACTATTAATTAATTAAGTAAAACCATTCAATGTTTATTTATGAAACCAAACCAAGACCCATAATTCAACATTGGTTTGAGCAAAAGAAAACTTGGAAATACACACATAAACACATAGAATTCGACACTAATTGAATGCAAGAAATCTTAGAAACACACACACAATCACACATTTCCAAGAGAAGGATCAAAACCTAGAATAATTCTCTACTGATTGAGTACAAAAAAACTTTAAAACACACACATTTTTAAGAGAAGAGGTCAAAACCCAGAATTAATCAGTCATTGAGTATAAGAAAACTTGAAAACATACACACAAAGCGGAACTAAATAATGCAAATAAATATTATGAAAAAAAATTGACTTATTAACTAGTTCAATAGAAGTGCTTGTTGTATTATATTGATCGAGGAAAATAAGCATAGTTAAGTCTATTATTAATTTTTATTCTTTACAATGAAAGAGCTGAAAACAGAACCAAGCTAATGTTCAAATTCACAACATATTGGTTCCTGTTCATTGAGTATAAGAAAACTTCAAAGCATACACACAGGGCAGAACTAGCTTCTTCAACATTCAGATTCTCTCAGAAGCTCTCAAGTTTCAGATTAGCAATGCAAGTAGAAGAAACGAGTGAAACAGAGCAGAACTACCTTCAATGGAAAAAAATAGAGCATAACCTGATCAGGAGAAAAAATCAGAAGACCACTGATCGAACATATAAGCCATATATTTTCATATATTTATCCAAAATAGAGGACCACCATTTTCGGATCTAGCAAAAAATGGTTGAACGACATCATACCTTCAAATGGAAGAGCAGATCGGAGAGGAGGTCAGAGCATTCAAGTTCAGTTCAACAGGTCCCAGGTGTTTTCACGTCTATCAGCTTCGTAGTACCATCCAAGACCCAAAACAAGCTTGATCCGTGAGCAACAAATGAAAAAATGTCCACTGGAATGGTAAGGAAGGGCGACAAAACGAGATCAGGAGCTGGGGGAAGGAAGAATGGACGGAGTCAAATATGTGACCAGATGGCAAAGGAGAGACAAAGGAGAGAAGGAAGAGAGGCACTGGAGGCAGACTGACAGTGGAGCAAGGCGAAGCGAGACAAGCGACATACACATAAGAGAGAATAAAGATGAGTTTTGAAACACACACATGAGCTCGAGCAAGAGGAAAAGACAAACATGAAGGGAGGGATATCATGGTCATTTTAAAATAATAGGTATCATTAATAATGCATCTTCCTTTCACATTTCAAAAAACCCATTTGAAAAGTCAGTTTTATATCATAAATAGTCCCCAAACAACATTTAACTTCCTCAAAGTGAAAAGCAGCTTTTTGAATGTTAAAAGTGGAGAAACCTAACGCACCCTAAAGTTTCATTAAATG